CCGAACAAAACGTAACCTAATCAAACCTATCGTGCCACGACTGCCATTGCTGGCTTCCCCAGAGCCGAGTATAGTATAGTGAAGCAACGACGAGCGTAGAAATCTACCGACTAGCAGTGGTTGGAATAAAAGCCGTAATTAACCAATCCTAACCTAATCAAACGTAACCTAGCAGAACCTAACTTGACGCCTCCACTATTTTTGGCCTCTACAGAGCAAAGCATTGAATATTAGGTCAGAGTAGAGGGTAGAAATCCATCGAATAGCAGTGAACAGCACAAAATTCAAATCTACCCTAGCCTAACCTAACCAAACGTAGCATAACCAAATGTAACATAACGCAACCTATCGTGCCTGGACCACTATTACTGGCCACCCCAGTGTGAAGCACAGCATGCTAGAGGGGGTGGAGTGCAGAAACCTTTAGTATTGCAGTATATAGCAGAAAAGTCAGAGCTTTACGCACCTAGCCCAGGCAAACGTAACCTACCAGGACCAAGCCTAACCAAACATGACGTTCCGCGAACACAATTCCCGGTCCACACAGGGCAAAGCAGAATATATTAAAGCACAGTAGGGCGGAGAAACCGACCGAATGACGGAGCACGCCACGAAAGCCAATGATATCCACACATATCCCAAACAAATATAATCAAACGAACGTGGCCTGTCTCAACCTAACGTGCCGCGACAAATGTTGCTGGCGTCCCCAGAGCCAAGCAGAATATATTAGAACACAGTGGAGCGCAGAAGGTCAAATAATCGCAGTGCGTAGCACAATAATCGAAGCTGCCAAATGTAACATAACCTATCGTAACTTCACCAAACGTAGCCTAACACAGCCTACCGTGCCGAGACCACATTTCCTGCCTTCGCAAAGCCAAGCAAAATATACTACAGCACAGTAGAGCGCAGTAAGCCACCGTATTGTAGTGTGCAGCACAAAATTCAAAGTCATCACGGCCATACCTTTTTTTTCACGTGGGGGAAATCTTCCAAACATACCCGGCCCCCTTAGTGAAGGGGGCGGGGTTATGTGGGATTTTTACCCACTAAAACCCCCAAGATGGCCAGACTTTCGCATTTCGGTGCGCCCTGTACTTCGCGGCGACGCAATTGCCGGGACGCCACCGCGAAGCAACCGCAGTTCCCTCCCGGCGCGACGGGTAATCGTACCCGAAACGATAATGTCCATGCGCGCCAGACGAGTCGTTTACAGGCACACACACACTCACACGCACACAACACGCATACCACCATATCGCAACGCACGCATACCCTGCGGACGCCGCGCGACCATCACGTGACGCAGCGCGCCCAGGCCACGGTCACTCGAACTGACAGGCCCCCAGACGTCAGCTCGTGGTCACCCTGACCTAGGCTACAACGGGAGAGAGAGACGGTCTCCCCGGCCGCAGGTACATGGTCGCTCGCGAAGGCGGAGGTCTAACGCGTTAACACATCCGGCAGTGCGCGCGCCGACATCCGGCGCCGCGCTTGCAGCCTCCGCCGCCCTACGCGCGAGGAGCACGCACTAGGCTCGCGGGCTCTCTCCGCGGCCTCTTTCTGTAGCATAACCGCCTCGCCGAAGGAGGCCACCGCACACCACGCACCTAAGCTCTCCGTCATCCGCGCCACGACGACTGAGAGTGAAAGGTCCCTACCCACCCCGCGACACAGTACCCGGCGCTCGCGAGCCTACGCCGGACATTCCTCCAGCGTGTGCTGCGCCGTGTCCCGCCCTTCCCCGCAGTGATGACACCGCGTCTCACGTTCCCGCCCCATAAGATGCAGGTACACCCCGAACCACCTGTGCCCAGATAGTACCAATGTCAGACGGAATGTGTGACGACTGCCGCTGCGCCCAGATGCATCCAACACGGGGAGCACAGCCTCGATTGCCCGGTGCCGCCGGCTACTCGGCTTCCTCAGCCGAGCTCGCCAGGCGGTCATCAAGGACAGTCGAATACTTCGCCTCAACGAAACGGCCCCTTCTTCAGGAGCACCGCCGCCGCAAGCGTGTAGGAGGCCGTAGATACGGGCCTCCCTCACAGCTTGCAGTTCGAATGGCGGGACACCCGCCAGGACCATCGCCGCCTCGTGGGATATCGTGCGGTAACCGCGCACGACCCTGATCGCCATCCTACGAGCGACTCGCCGGAAAATCGCCGGATTGCGCGGACTGGCGACCAGGTCGTTCGCCCAGATCGGAGCCCCGTAAAGTGCCACCGAGCGAACGACTCTTGTGTAGAGGCGGCGCACCATTCCGTCTGGCCCTCCCAGGTTGGGTAGCAGGAGACACAGCGCCCCCGCCATAGCTTCCAGGCGTGGTTCTAGCGCGAGAAAATGTTCGTCGAATTTCCAGAGGCTATCGAGGAGGTGACCGAGGTACTTCATCCGGTCCTGTACCACGACCACGACGTTCCCCACGCGCAACAGGGACTTGGGCGGCTTCCCCTTGTGCCGATGGCAATACCGCATTGCCTCGGTCTTCTCAGGGGAGATACACAGCCCTAGCCACTGGATGCTCTTCGCGAAGAGGGCCACGCCGCCTTCCGCGCGCAGCGTGGCCTCCTCCCAACTCGACCCGGCGGGCATCTCCAGCGTGTCGTCCGCGTAACACGTCGGGCTCAGACAGCGGGGGAGGGGAGTGCGCAACACGGCGTCGTACGCGAGATCCCAGAGGACCGGCCTGAGTACCGACCCCTGTGGAACCCCGCAGTTCGTAGCCCGCACGACGGTGGAGTCTCGTCCGGAATACTCGATCGAGCGCTCCGCCAAATAGTTGCCTCTCACCGCCAACATGTATTGGGGAACCCTGTGGTATAACGGAACACACCGGATGGCGGCCCAGGTTAGGGTGTTGAAGGCGTTGGCGATATCCACACCGACCGCCAGCACCACTCCTCCACGGCCGACGGCAGCCTCCGACACGGTACGAGCGCGCTTGATCGGCGATCGTCGACCGACCCTGCCGGAATCCAAACTGGCTGACGCTGAGACCGGGACCCGCGTCCGTTAAATGCTCTCGGAGGCGGGCAGCTAGAACCCGCTCGAGGAGCTTGCCCTCATAGTCGAGCAGGCATGTCGGCCGATATGCCTTCGGAGAGTACGTCGGCTTCCCTACTTTCGGGATCAACACGAACCTTGCTCTCTTCCGACATGCCGGGCTTCGACCGGTCCTGAAGCAGCTGTCGAACAGCCGTCGCACACGGTCACCCCACGCTTCCAGAGCCAGTGCAACGGCTCGGCCTAGGATGCCGTCCGGTCCGGATGCGGTGCTCCTCGCCCCCGTCCTAATGACCGCACGGCACAACTCCTCGCGCGTGACCCCCAGCTCGATGGACCATCCGACAAGTTCCGACCGCACTGCAGCGGGTTGCACCAGATCCACCGTCACCACAGGGAAGAAGGTGTCGATCACCCGGCGCAGGAGCTCGGGGTCCATACGCTCGGTCACGGGGGGCGCCCATGCCACTAACTACACCAATACTAACTTATAGGGGCGACCGCACGGATGGCTTTCGAGGGTCGGGATGGGTTCGCTCCATTGCCGAGATTTGGCTCTGCGAATCTCCCTCCGGAGATCGCCCACCGCGAGCCGGTACCCGCGATAGAGGCGCGCGATTTCCTCGGCGGTCACCTCGCGTCATCGACGACGCGACCGAGTGTAATGGAGCCGGGCGAGCACGCAGAGCTCCCGGAGCTGCGCGATTTCAGCCGAACACCAGTGCACTGCACCACGCGATGGTGGCTCCCGCACGCGCGGCATGGTGACGTCGCACGCGCGCGTCATCGCCGCCCGTAGCCGATCCACTCCTAACCCCGCTTCGTCGTTTTCGAGCCCGACGGCCCCATCCGAACATGCGACGACCTGGACGTTCGCCGCGAGGAGGTCGCGGTCGAGGCTCCCGAGGGCCCACCGCGGCGTGGGGTGTGCTTCCCGCTGGGTGGTTCTAGACCGGTGCGAGGAGCGATGGCAAGCATCATGGTGATGTGGAGCTGGTGGCTGAGCGTTTCCACCTCCACCGCCACCCACCAGGCGGCGACCCGCCGCACAGCTTCCGGTGATGCGAACGACAATTCCACGATGGACGTGCCGTTCCACCGAACGCACGTGCTTACGGAACCCCGATTGAGCAACCAGAGATATTACCCCGCGGCCCAATCTTACTGGGCCTCTCCCCGAGCGTCTGTTCGCGGGGAACCCCACGCCACGGAGTGGGCGTTGAAGTCCCCCAGGACCAGAAACGGATGAGCCATGTGTCCACTAAGGAATCCTCCGAGCTCGTCCAGGAACCTCTCGCAAGACGAGAGGCCGCGGCTGTGAGAGACGTAGCACCCCACCACGACTACGTCGTTCCAGGAGACAGCCACGAATCCCTCACCGCTGTGAAGCAGCGTTGGTGCAGGTGTCCGCCGTAGTCCCCTCGCGATGACCGCCACGGAGCCGTCCCGATCCCCGAACCACACGTCTTTTTCGAGGATACGTTACGGCTCTGCGGTAACAGCCAGCCCGACACTCAGCTCGACGAGCATCTGCAGGAGCAGGTCCTGCGACGCCGGCGAGTGTTTCAGGTTGGCCTGGAGCACTATGGACGACGTGATAGTTACGCCGTGTCCATGGCCTCCTCCTGGTCCCCATTCCTTTGGGCTGGCTGCGGGCCCGGTGCACCGCCGGTCGGCGGGCCCTTCGCGGCAGCGTCCGCGGAGACGGAATTCGCGGACGCAGCTTTCGAATAGGCGCTCGCAAGCGCCGAGGTGTTCATGGCGCCTGCAGGCGCCTGGCGAGCCGCGGAGTTTGCCTTTGGCGGGCAGCACGCCTTGCAGCCCAGACGGTGGTTGGAGGTGCGGCCGAGCCCGGCGCAAATGGGGCACATGGGTGGAGGCGCACTACTCCCACCGGCACGGTGGCACGCCGCGCCACACCTGAAACAAGTGTCGCTGCGGTCGACCGCGCTAGAGCATCCGTTCCTTGTGTGACCGAACGCACGGCAACGGAAGCACTCGAGGCGCCGTGCCTCCAAGGCTACGACACGGGCCGAAGTCCAGCCGACGCGGGTCCGCCTGCAGTCGGCGGCCTTTCTCGCTGCCACGAGGGGACACTGGGCCCATACAGAGCCCAGCCCCGAAGCGGAAGACCGGATCACTCCGGTTCTTACTTCCGCCCCGGTGCAATCACGGACCCTAGCCAGGGCAGCGGCCACCTCGCGGGGGGTGACAGAGTCGTCGAGCCCTGTCACCCACAGCTGCGCTTTCATGGTGGGAACCGTAACCCGCACGCCGGACCCCTCCGAGAATTCGCTCATTCGCCCGACGAGAGTGGCGGATCGCTGTGCGCCCTCGGTTCGGCCGGAAGCGGCCCGACGTGGACGCAAGTCCACGATCCCTAGGTCGGCGAAATTTATCTTTCCCCTTGCAGCGGAGATGGCCTCCGCGCAAGATATACTCGACCCCGCCGGTAGCCAAACCGCGTCGGCGGCCCGCGATGGCGGCCGCTTAATTGTGGGGCCCGGCTTATCGCCGCTCTTCGTCTTGTCTTGACCGTGTATTGCTCCGGTCTTCGCGGCGGTCGCGGGAGACGCGCGGGCGTAGCAAATCCGCGAGAAGCGGCGCCCCGTCTTACCGACGTGTCTCTTCGGCGTACTCGTGGGCACCCTCGCGGGCAGTTACGGGGCAGCGGCCGCCTGCCGCTGCGTTCGCTTCTCGCGCCTACGGATGACGAGAGACCAGCTGGCCCCTGCGTCCTTCCCGGCTACGACCGGGGCCGCGAGCGGGTCCGACGTCTGGGCGTCAGCGAGCCCGCCACGGGAAGCGCCGGCGACAGAGTCCGCCGAGGCCACCAGTACAGGCCGCGCGCGCAGGCCGGCGTTGTAGCTCGCTTCCTCCGGCGCCCGGGCAGGCGCATGCCGCCCGGCCGCCACGGGGAGCGTACGCACGAGCTCCTCGAACTTTTCGTCGATTCGGGGATTGTGTGCCGCGAAGGCAGCCTCCATACCGAACTCGGGCGCCGGTGCCTCTGCTCCGGCGCCCACGGACGCACGCACATTTCGAGCTGCCGCGGGGTCCACGATAACCCGCCTCCGCTCCTGATCCAGCTCCGCGCGCAAGGAGGCGATCACCGCCTGCTGGGAGGCATCGTTCTCCCGCAAGTCAGATATAACCGCCTGCTGGGAGACGTCCTTCTTCCGCATACCGGCGATCTCCGCCATCAGCACGCGGGCCCTCTCCGCCATCGACTCCTGGGCACGGCCGGCTGTTACATGGAGACTTATCTCTCAGCCGGCCGAATCCACCACCCTGGCGCACATACGGAAGGCGCGGTAGTATGGGACGTGCAGATTTTTACTCTTGTCTGCCATCGTCTCTATCCTCGCGCAATTCTCGGATATAACTGCAGACAGTTCCACATCACACAGCGGACGGTACGCTCTGGCGAGCTCCTCCCGTGTGGGGAGGGTCGCCCGGCTTACGCTCGTGGGTTTCGGGGCGAGACCAATACCATCCAAACCTTCGAGTGGGTCATATTCATCCAACACCGACCTCCGCGGCCGCTAACCGAACGTTTCCTAACCCAAACTAAAGTGCCTACACCATTATTGTGCAACTCTCCAGAGTAAATCAGAATATGCTAGAGCAGAGTAGAGCGAAGCAATAGGCCGCATTGGAGTGGATAGCAGAAAAGTAAATGATATCCTAACATAACCAAACGTAACAAATCGCAACCCAACGTTCCTAGCCCATTATTGCTGGCCTGCCCGTCTCCATGCAGGGCATATTAGAGGAAACTATTGCGCTGACGCCCAAAGAATGGCAGTGCCTAGCACGAAAGTCAAAGATATTTCAATCTAACCCAAACAACCCTAACCTATCCGAACGTAACCTACACCAACCTAGTGCGCCACGGCCGCGACTTCTGGAATTCGCAGAGCAAATCAGGGAACATTGGATCACATTAGAGTGCAGAAATCCATAGCATAGCAGTGTACAGCACAAAAGACGAAGTTGCAGTATCCTAACCTAAACGAACGTAACCTAACCGAAGGCAGCCATACTCAACCTATCGTGCCGCAGCCGCTATTTCTGGTCTCGTCAGAGTCGTGCAGAGTATATTAGAACAGTGAAGAGCGCAGAAGTACACCGAACATCTGTGTACAGCACACAAGTGAAAGCTATCCTATAATAACATAACCAAACCTAACCTAACCGAACGCAGCTTAACAGAACCTATCGTGCCGAGACCACTACTGCTGGCCTCACCACTGCCACGCAGAACATATTACAGCAGTGCAGGGCGCAGGAATACACAAGATCGCAGTATACAGGAGGAAAGCCAAAGACATCCAAACCTAACCCAAGCTAACGTCACCTAACCTACCGTAGCGAAACCCAACGTTGCGTGCCGCGACCACTACAGCCGGTCCCCTCAGTGCCTAGCAGATTCGGGTAGAGCACAGTAGAGGGCAGGAATACAACGAATAACTGTGTACGGTACGAAGGTCGAAACTTCCCTGACCAAACATATCTTGACGTAAACCAACCAAACGTATGCTATCAAATCCTGACGTGCCACGACAACTATTGCTCGCATACCGAGATCCGAGCAGGGTGAAGAAGAGCAATGCAGAGCGCAGTGTAGTGCGCTAGAGTCAAAGCTATCCTATCCTAACATATGCAAACGTAATATAACCAAACACAGCCTAACAGAAGAAAACGTGCCGAGAACACCTACGCTGGTCTACCCAGAGCCAAGTAGAATATACTAGGACACAGTAGAGAGCAGGATTCCTCCAAAAAGCAGGGTATAGCACAAAAATACAAAGTATCCTAACCTAGCATGACAAAATCTAGCATAACCAAACGTAGAATAGATAAACCTAACGAGCAGAGACCGCATTGCTGGCCTGGCCATAGCCAAGCAGTACATATTAGAGCACAGTGGAGGGCAGAAGTCCGCCGCATAGCCGTGCATGGCACAAAAATCAAAGCAATCCTGACCAAACTTTGCCCAACCTAACCTACCCAAGCGTAACCTAACTCAGACAAACGTGCCACGACCGCTATTGCTGGCCTTACCAGAGGCAAGAAAATGCCATGAGAGCAATGCAGTGCGCAGATATCGACCGAATGGCAGTGTATAGCACAAAAGTCAAAGCTGCCCTAATCAAACCTAACCTAGCCTGGTCAAGACAAGCGTAACCTAGCTCAACCTAACTTGCCGAGACCACTGTTGCTGGCCTGCCCAGAGCGAAGCAGAATGTATTAGAACACTGTAGATCGCGTAAATCTGCCTATAGCAGTGTATAGCACAAAAGACCTAACTATCCTGTCCCTCCCTCACGAAGCGTAACATAGCAGAACGTAGCACATCTCAACCGAACGTGCTGTGACCACCATTGCTGGCCTCCGCAGAGCCAAGCAGAGTATACTAGAGCCCAGTAGATAGCAGAAATCTACCGCATTGCTGCGAATCGCGCAAAAGTCGAAAATACTATAACCTAACATGTCCTAACATAATCTAGGCTTACGTAACCTAGGTCAACCTAGCCTGCCGAGACCACTATTGTCCGCCTCCACAGAGCGAGGCAGAAAATATTAGAGTACAGTAGAGCGCAGAATTCCGCGGACAGCAATGTATAGCCAAAAGTCCAGACTTCCCTACCCTAACCTCACGAAACGTAGTTAAGCCGAGTGTACCACAGCTCAAACTAACGCGCCGAGACCATATTGCTGGCCTCCACAGGGACAGGCAGAATATACTAGAGCACGGCTGAGCTCAGAAATTCACCTCATTTCCGCGTGTAGCGGAAAAGTCGAAGATAGTCAAATCCTACCTGAAACAATCTAACCTATCCAATCTTAGCACAACTCAATACAATGTGCTGAGGCCACTATTTCCGCTCTCCCGAGAGCCAAGCAAAGTATAGTAGCGCACTGTCGAGCGCAGGATTTCAGCGAAAAGGAGTCTACAGCACGAAAGAAGCTAACTTGGCGAGACCGCAATTTCTGGCCTCCACGGAGACAAGCCGAGTTTACTAGTGCACAGTAGAGCGCAGAAATCCGCCGCATTGCAATGAATGACGCAAAAGCCACAGATATGCTAACCTAATCTGTACTAACCTAACCAAACCAAATGTCTCGTAAATTAACATGGCGTGCCGCGACCATTGTTCTTGTCATCACCAGAATAAAGCAGAATGTAATAGAGCACAGTAGATCACAGGTGTCCATCGAATAGCAGTGTACAGCAAAAAAGTCAAAGCTATCCTATCCTAGATTACCCGATCTTGACATAACCATGCGTAACATAATTCAACCTAGCGTGCCACGGTCACCATTGCTGCCTTCCCCAGAGTGGAGCAGGACTTAGTAGAGGAAAGGAGAGCGCAGAAATATGCAGAATCGCAGTGTACGGCGCAAAAGTCGTGTCAATCCAAACTTAACACAAGCTAGCTTAGCCTAACCACACACAGCCTACCTAAGGTAAATGGGCAGCGACCGCTGTAGGTGTTCTCCCCAGAGCCAAGGAGGACATAGTGGAGCACAGTTGATAGCTGCGGTCGACCGAGCCAAAGTATATAGCACGAAAGTCAGAGCCATCCTTACCGAACTTAACCTAACCTAAGCTAACCAAACGTGATGTAGCTCAAACTAACGTGCCGAGAAAGAAATTGCTGACACTCCCAGGGCTAAGCAGAATATAGAAGAGCGCAGTAGAGCGCAAAAATCCATGGAACAGCAGTGTATAGCACAAAAGTCGAAGAAACACAAACCCAACCTGACCTAACCCAACCTAACCGAACGTAGCAGAGCTAAACATAACGTGCCGCGACCACTGCTTCCAGCCTCCCCTGAGCCATGCAGAATGCACCAGAGCACAGTAGATCACAGATATCCACTAAACAGCAGTGTAACTAACAAGAGCCGATGTAGCCACTCCTAACATTGCCACACGTAACATATCCAAACGTAACTTGACGTTTAAGCTTAACCAAACATGACGAGACCACTATTGCTGGCCCCCACAGAGACTAGCGGATTGCACAGGAGCACCGTAGTGCGCAGAAATCCACCGCATGGCAGTGAATAGCGAAGAAGTCGAAGATATCCAACCCAACCTGTCCTAACATGACCTATCCGATCGTAATGTAACGCAACATAACTCGATGAGACCAATATTGTCGGACTCCCCAGGGCCAAGCAGAAC